CACACAGCTGCGACACGGCGGCACTAGGGCGACTTGGCTCGGCTAGGCGGCGGCGACTCGGCGGAGACACGTGGCTAGGGTTAGGGCGACGGCACAGCGACAACGGCACATGGCTACGGCAGAGCGACGGCTACTCGACAACAAAAACAAGAGATTAAAAACTAAACCGAGGGAAAACGGATAGAAGTCTCACCGAACCAAAATGATCGGAGAGGGAGAGATGACGATGGCTACCCGGCGGCAACACACGGAGACGACTACTACGCTAGACAGACAGCAGATTAGGTTAGATCGGATTAAGGCCCTAGGGAAAACCTCACAGGTGAACGGCATAGGAGCGGCGGTTGCCGGCGAACCACGGCACAATAACGCAAACGGAGGGCACCGGGAGCGAGAGGGGATCAAAGTGACCCTTACCACCATTTATGCGACGACGAACGGCAACGGAAGATAGCCGGCGACGAGCTTCGAAGGGCGGCGAGGTACTGTCCACGGAGGCGACGACTTTCCGGCGATGTGCGGCGACAACGGAGGGGTGGCCGGGCTTCACTTCGCAGCTGCTTATCCAATGGAGGCAGCGGCGAAGCTTGGCGATGACGGGAGGAGCAGCAGGGCTTCGCCGGAGATCAAAACGCGACGGCGAGCTTCGGGTTGACGGCGACGATGGAGCTCTGGTGGATTTCGGCTTCGGGGAGATGGCTGCCGGGCTCCCTCTCCTTCTTGCGAACCCAACGGCGGCAGCGGCGACCAAATGCGGCGGCTAAGGCGGCTGCTAGCTGCGGCTGGAGATCGGAACATGACGGCAACCCAATGGTTCATGGCGAGGACGGCTTCCGGCGAAGTTTCGGCGCAAGGGGAACGGCGGCCGGGGTGGAGCTCGACCTTGCGGAGCCGATGGAGGTGGCGGCGCAGGAAGGAGGCAGATGAGGCGGCGTCTAGGGACGGCTGGAGCGGCGCCGGCGTTTCGAGAGAGAAGGAGAGCGCGGGGAGAGCGTTTCCGGCGACGGCGGCGGACAGGACTTGAGGGGATGGGTAGAAGACGACTAGGGGGTCCTTTATATAGGCACGGGAGCTCGGGATCAAGCCCACAACGACGGGAAAAACTCGGGAAAGTCTAGGGTTCTCGCCGGAAAAAAGAAGGATTTGATCCGCGAAATTGGAAAGAATTTCCATATAAAATTTTGGGGATTTCTTGGGGAAAAGGAAGAGGAGATTGAGTGGATTCCATTCCCGCAACCAATTTGGAAAGAAGAACAATGGAGATGTTGGATTTTGGAAGGGGATCGGCGGCAACAGGCACGGCACGGCTCTGCTCTGGCTCTGTCCAGAGCTGGAAGAAGGAGCACTGTAGCGCAAGGGAGGTAAACTAGACTTTTCTGCCGGCTGACAGGAAGGGAGGGAATGGGCTGAATTCGGCCCAAGACTAGGAAGGATGATTTTATGCTTTTCCAAATAAATTAACCAATGAGATGATCTTTCAATTGTTAAAAATACTTCCAATGCTCAAATAATTCCAAGAAAAATCTTGAACATACTTGGACACCCAAAGTATTTAACAATATTAAAACCAGACCATTTAATGATTAATTTAATATGTGGATAATTACTGAAATGCTCTTTGTATGATTAAAAATTAGGAATTGAGCTCCGAAAAATCCGAGAATATTCCAGAGAGTATAATTAACCATGGAGAATTTAATAAAAATTAAATCCATCCATGCTTTATATTTAGGAAATTTTATTTCCCACATTTAACTTCACTTGTAAATTAATGAACATTTAATATAAATTCTAATAATAATTTATTAAATAATTTATAAATCCTGAAACAAAAATCAGGATGTGACACATAAGGATCATTGGGCACACGATTATTATTACCTTGTTGGTGGCGAGTGCCACCCATACCTGTGCGGTTTGTGCGTAGACGACATCGTAGCCGTGCTTGCCTGGTAGCTTGTGCGTCAATATAGCCACTAGAATCATACACCATGTCTTGAGGATGACCATCGTCGTCACCACTCACTTCCTCATTGGAAGGTGTCTCCAATGCAGCAACCCGATCAGTTAGCATGGATATCCGCTTGTCCAGCCTCTCCATGTGCTTCAGGAAGCCGATTTTAGTGAAGGCATCTTGGACAGACTTTGCAACAGCCTCCGTGATGTCCTTTTGAGTATTTTCTTGGAGAGTTCGTAGTTGCTCTCGACTGACACAGTCAGCAAAATCCTGGGGAGTCCTCTCATCATCGTTACCTGCCATTGAAACACCAAAACAGAAACAAATGGTGAAGGTTATCCCTAATAATCTACTACGCAGGTGTAGTGGTGCCTCTCAACAATTCTCAGCAATATGGAGTACCTAACCAAGTTCTTATAAGGTTCTTACCAGCAAAGCAAAGGATACCTAGAAGGCGTAGTCAACGATTGAAGGGATCAAGAACCTGTACTGTCCAAAAGTAATATGTGGAGCTAGGAAGGCCAAATATATGTATATGAGTGGTACACAATCCAATGACAGATAGTAATGCTGAATAAAAATCCCAAGTCACTTGCCCTTAGTTGCTGGTCTACTTGTGTTCTAGACAGTAGTGGTAACAATAATGGCTCAAAGAATATGACACTAGTAAACAACAAAGAAGGACTAGCAGGCAAGCTTCGGCGAGTTTCAGCAAACACAGCAAAACCAAACTGGTAGATAAGCTTAACGGAGCGCGTCGTGATCTCAATGCACTAGTGGAAATCAACTTTTCTTTTTTTTCTTTTATTTTTGTGATATTTGTTTTTCTTTTTCAGGAACACGAAAATAGGCACACCTCCAAGTTACAGCTCAATCGGAGTGGATATGTGGCCTATGGAATTTTCTGAAACCACTTAAACAAGGTGCAGGAACTTGTGAGCTTGAACAAACAATTTTGCAAGCCAAATTTCGGGATTTTGGATTCGCCAAACCCGCCAAAGGGGGAAGAAACAGATGTAAATTTTTTTTTTCTTATCCGAAAAGTTAAAATTTGCCTGATTCCGAGTCCATATGCAAAAGTTATGGCTGTTTGAAGTTTCGGCTTCCGGCTAGGTTTTCCAGAGGGGATACAATCTAGTCTGTTTTGCGGTGGAATTGGAATATGGTGGCAGCGGAGTATGTAGGGTGTTCTGGTGATGCGTGGTGATCTGGGTGGGTGTTTATGATGGCGGAGACGGCTCTCAAAAGATGAACCCTAACACACAGTGAAAGGTGGCGGCTAGGGTTACAAAGGAAAACACACGACTAGACTAAAACACGCACTAGACCAGCAATAGGAACTTAAACTAGGCCTCAAACTCAACACTACGGACTCTGAAAAAAAACCATGCAAAGGCTAAACACGGTCTAGGTAAAGGTAACTAACGACTAAACTTTTTTTTGGCTTTTCTGTAGACTCTAGGATAATTGCGAAAAACAAAAACTAATCTAGGGCAAAGAAACTGAGTGAACCTGACGGTGAACCTAGAGCTCTGATACCACTTGATGTGCACTAGGGTTCCCGATCTTCTGAAAGGTTCTGATAAACAACGATTTGGGCGGAGTCGTGACACAAATCGATCCGGCTTCTTGAACGCGCACGCTCTTGAGCCCCGCAATCGCAGCACCACGTCTCCTCTGGTTATCACCCGTGTCGAAACACGGATGGCCTCACCGAGAAGGCTAATCCCTGTTTGCCAATCGAAGAACACAAACAAGAATGAGATAGAAAACAACCAAAATTGCAGATGAATGATTAAGCTCATGAGTTGGGGTCTTACAAACCGATCTAGAGGCGAAACTATTCTCGACAAAATAATCTAAGCAAAACCAAAAACCCTAAAGATGGCAGCGGTAGTGATATATAGAGTTTAGGGTCGTGCAACCCCCTCTCGACGCAACACTAATGGGTTCCAACACGATACATGGCCCAAAGGCTCAAGTACGGTGACGCAGCACCGGGACAGATTCTGGACGTCAACTTGTTCGGTCGATTCCCATTGACTCGGAAAGAATTTGGATGCGGGACGAAAACCATTGAAAATGTTATTTTCTTAACTTTCTATCCATATAAAGAACGCCCCAATCCGAGCACGTATGCGACCTGGGCGCCCGTTTTAGTGCAGACTGGTCCTGTACTCAGAATTGCACCCGAGTTCGACTTTGTTTGGGCCTCCACCTTGAGTTGGACGTCCTCGATGATTCTCCATGGCTCTAAGTCCTTCTCCAGATGTCTCCTTGTCCCTCCATTGTTCCTAATCATAATATAATCATTAGGTAGCAATCTATTCCCGAATTCGTACAAAGAAGAACATAGGAACGAGCTCACCTCTAAACTCGTGCACGAGCTCTTGTTATCGGTCCTTGAATGACCGTTGGAGGATTGTTGTGTGTATTGGAAGGAGTGATGCCCACATCATCCGCTTGTGGGGATGGGTATACAAGCTTCTGTTGGACTCGATATATTTGGCTAGTCAGCCACTTTATAATTAAACTAGTTGTAATATGAATCTTAGTTTACATTCATGCCTTATTTCTGATTTATCATTGCTTAGATGAAAATGCGAGACAAGTGCTTAGCCTGAAAACTAGTTTCACATGAGTGTGAGTTTAGAGCATTTGAGATGTCGTAGACCTCTAGCAATTTGTCACTCTATTGAGATGTGTGACACATCTCGTTGCCACCTTTGTGTGGTGCAACGGGTTTGTCCTAGGCTGGAATTGGCTGTCCCCAGCAATATCTCTTATGCTCTCTACTCGACGCTTCGGGTTTCATAATGTGTTTGCTATTTGACTTGATAGGGCAGCGATGAGGTTGGATGGTTACCGTTTTATTTATGTTTTGTTGAGACCCCATTCAACTAAATATTCGTGCTGTCTTTTCAAATAGCAAACACAATTTTTATTTAATCTGGGGTGTTTCTATAATCATGTTTCCTTATTTTTACTTTAGGAGTTAAATTTAGGTATTAACACACACGACGAGGGGTACAAAGAGGTGAGGTAGGATTGGGAAGTTAACAGATGATTTCACCAGAAGAGCATGGAATCGATTTTGGCCATTGAATCTTGAGATCAGATGGTCAGGAATGATCGCGTACACTTTTTCGTGGATGGCTGTAGTAAAGTTCAACTAGCTTATATCTCAGTATAGATTTCAATTATCATTACATGTAAACTCGGAACATACATATCATAGTACTAATTTAAGATCTGTATTAATGATTTTGTTAGCTATAATCTGATATGTTCTCTCCGACGGATGGACTGAATCGAAGAACACATAAGAATTAGCATCTTGACATGTCAAATGATCGTTGAAGCCGCAAAGGACGGATGTCTCAATAAGTCCTGTGCCACAGCAACCTTGAGCTATATTCACAAACCCTGATCACCACAAAATTTAGTAGAGTTAATCTGGCCAATTTACACATAGGTAATATGGCATTAAAATAATATATTAAAAATACATATTTAAATTTTCGATGAGATATACAAGCAGATCGATAATGTCTTGCTTCTGGTGTCATGGAACAGAAATAATCAAGTTGATGATTTGGTATGTGTGATTTCTGATTCTTTCTGATTCTTTCTGTGCATGCGTAAGTTTTATACTACCCTGTGTATTCTACATTTGTACTATCAGGATATGTCACTAGTAGTAAAAGAGATGTAAGTCGTTAAGTAGTGACTTCTTCTGCCAGTAATTGAAGTGGCAGCATCATCTATTAGGTTAGAAAATAAGAACATCTACATTGATTTTACTTCTAGTAGAGACTATTATAAAACACATATGAGCTTTATGGGCCTCTCGCGCTCCCGCATCGTCCACGTGTGGACCACTGGGGGCGAACCCTATCCCCCGCTGCCGCCACCCTCCCCTCCTCTCCCCCCGCCTCGCCACCACCGGAGCGCCACCAGAAATCGCGCAGCTCACCTAGATGGTGGCGGCGGGGCCAAAACCTCGTTGGCGGTCCGTCTCCGGCGCGAGGAGGCGGCATGGTGCACTCGGAAGGCCGAGCGATGGTGCAGTCCGACGCTACGGAGCCGGCACCGCCACCACCGGATCTGGCGCCCTCACCCCCGATTGGATCCAGTGTCGCTGCCGTCGGAGCTGACCGAAGGAGCAGGCGCGGTGAGCCGATGGCGGCAAGAGTACGCGCAGGCGACGGTGGCAGGAGATGGTAGCAGACGGCAGCAGGAGGCGGCGGCGGATGGCGGCAGGAGGCACGGGCAGCACATCGAGAGGTCACTGCGACTGGTGGGAGGCGCAGGCGACGACAACTGCTGGACGGCGGGAGGCGCAGGTGGTTGGCCGACGGGAGATGTGAGTGATGTCAGCGGCTAGCTGGCTCGACCGGCGTGGGCGACGGTAGAAGCTAGCCGGAGGAAGGAATTGTGGTGAGCGGCAGCAGATGCGGGCGACGCCGACGGTGAGATGCCGATGAGTGCGTGGTGACCGTGGAGTGGAGGCCACGTGGCTAGCGAGCGTGGCGTGGAGGCTAGATCGGTGTGTCAATGAGCTTGCCATGGTAGGAGCATAGCACGGCTAGGGCGCAGCGGCGGTGAGGCTGCCACGGTGGGATGACGGATGCGACGGTGATGACCAGGCGGCCTGTTGCAAACACGGGCAGGCTGGTCGAGGTGGCGACGACGGTAGCGCCAGGTGGGCGTTGAAGGCTGTAGCGAGCTCCTTTTCAGGCGTCAGTCCTTTTGTGGTGGCGGCTTGCCACCGCAAGAAGGCCACGTTGCATGGGCGAGTTGGGGAGGGGGGGTGGGGTGGAAGAGGGGATCCATTCTTCTCTCTCACCCTCTACCTCTCCAACCCACCAACGTGGATGGAATTCGAGCGCTCCGGAGGTTGAGATCCTACTTTGATGACCGGCTAGCGGCGAGGCGTCGACGCGGTCGCTGCGCGTTGAAGGGAACTAGCTGTTGGTTTCGGCTAAATCAGATATGCACTCATTGGTGTGGGAGAGTAGGAACTACGGGCGAAGGCCTAGCCTTCGGGCCGGCAATGGTGACACGTGCGGGTGTCGCTTTCCCCTCGGGGTGTTACTGCATTTTCTCTCCTCTCTCAGTGGGTTCTTCCGGTGAAAACCATGCCCTGGTTCTTTAGGATGGCGACGGTGGCACTCTTGGTGTTGCTTAGAAGACCCATTCCTTAAGGGGGGATCCTAATGGGCGATCGATCGCCTGGAGATGGGGGTAGCGATCGATCCCCTCCCCCCTCCCTCCCTCCCTCCACCTGGTTTCCTTTTTTGGCACCGCATTACTTTCCTATTTTAGTAAATTTATGCACCTCAAGTTTATACACCTCAAGTTTACACATCTAAAGTTTAGAGACCCAAAGTTTATAAGTCAAAAGTTTATATATCCGATTCAAATTTGAATTTGAATTCAAGTTTGAATCGGGTATGTAAACTTTTGACTTATAAACTTTGGGTCAATAAACTTTATGTATAAACTTTAGATGTATAGAAATACTATATATAAAAAATATTTGAATTCAAGTTCAAATTTGAATCGGATATAATTCAAATTCAAATTTGAATCGGGTATATAAACTTTTGAATTATAAACTTTGGGTCTATAAACTTTAGGTGTATAAACTTTAGATGTATAAAAATACTATATATAAAAAATATTTGAATTCAAATTCAAATTTGAATCGGATATATAAACTTTTGACTTATAAACTTTGGGTCTCTAAACTTTAGGTGTATAAACTTTACATGTGTAAACTCGAGGTGTATAAACTTTAGACGTATAAATTTACTAAAATAGGAAAGTAATGCGGTGCCAAAAAAGGAACCCACGTAGAGGAGGGGGAGGGGGATCGGATCTGATCGCTCTGGGCGATCGCTCGCCATGTAGCATTTCCGTTCCTTAAGTGTGTTGCGTGCTTGTTCTGTTTTTAGCTGCAGGATCAGCGTTAGACGCGTGGTGTGGCTGTTTTTTTCTTTTTCTGGACTATAGTCACCCAGGACTATAGATTTGTATTTTTTCATGCTATATCAATAGAAACATCGCACTATCTAATACGGGTTGTTTCAAATAAAATTATAAAACACATAATCTATTGGATTTATTTTCAACGGACCTTAGGTCTTAAAAATGAAAAATAAAAAACACGAGCAAGATTGAGCACTAACCGTAGTATGACGGGTTGGACAGGATGGCGGACAAAACACTGTAAGTATCTGAATATACCACCCTTAATCCGGTGAGCTCGTCGTTGAGCTTGCCGATGGCCTCCGTCAGTGCGGTGTTGAATGCCACCGCCACCTGGCTGTGCTCTTCGTTGCACTCCCCCGGCGCATCGTGGTTCAGCGTCCTCGCCGATGGCAAGCACCCGATCGGCGCGAGCCCGGCAAATATGATCTTGTGGGCACCGAGCTCGTGGGTGTCGCGGACGGCGGCTGCAGCCTCGCCAACGAGGTAAGCGGTGTACTCCGCCGTGGTGTAGACTGCGCGCCGGAGAGGCAGATTAAAGTAGTTGATGATGAAATCGTTGGTGCCGATACTGAAGACGTAGAGCGCTTCGGTGATGATCTCGTTCGCGACATCTTCGCCCTTGGCTTGCTTTAGCTTTTCTATGTATTCCTTGAAGTATTCCAGCTGCTGGCTCAGTGGTATCACGGACTGTAATTAGTAAGAACATAGATGCTCGTTAGCAAGTAGTAGCAGAAATTCGGTCGTAGGCATTTATGTTATGGACGTATCTGGTTTAGACAAACCAGCTACCACTCTATTTATAAAAGACACCATCCACCTATACTTCAAATACAATTTTCTCTTAAACTACTCATCCGATATACGATCCGATTACACCGTTGTGTTCGTAACAATTAAATCTTTATAACAAGATCTCACATCATTATATTTTGATAAAAAATCACAAATTATTTTTATGATATGTCTAAATTACTTTTAGATTTCACTAAGTTACTTCTTAGATATATAAAAATAAATTCAGTAAAGCCTAAAAGTAATTTACATATATTATAGAAGTAACTTAGAACAAAACGAAGGTAACTTTGGCATGTCATTTGAAGTAAATCCGTTGTAGAGATAAAAACATGACTCTATCTAGAAATTAAATTAATCAGCACAAATTATAGAATTAACTAAAAAAAATAAAAGTAATCACCTCAGAGCATCATGAATGTATAGGTAGTATTTTAATCAAATCTAGAAGTAAATTATATATATGATAATTTGTTCAATGAAAAAAGACATTAATTAAAGTTACTTTCCTTTTGTTATAAGTTACTTCTATAATATATGTAAATTACTTTTAGGCTTTACTAAATTTACTTTTATATGTCTAAGAAGTAACTTAGTGAAATCTAAAAGTAATTTAGACATATCATAAAAGTAATTTGTGATTTTTCATCAAAATATAATCATGTGAGATCTTGTTGTAAAGATTTAATTATTACGAACACAACGGTGTAATCAGATAAATCGGATGAGTAATTTAAGTAATTTAAGAGAAAATTTTATTTGAAGCATAGATGATAGGAATATTTCCCCTACTTACTTAATGGATTAGTACTATAGTAAAGTAAAATTCTTCCAGCTAACACATATCTGGATTCTGGATAGGCGTCGCTAGTTATGACTAAATCGAGAGTGCTCTCGGATTAGATTTTGCGTTATGTTATGTATATACTAGTAGAGTGACAAAGTTTCAAGGTGACTTTTTTGACTCTTTTTTTAGTGAGAATACAACTTTTATTTTTTTTCATACAGAATGTAAGTTTGATTTTATACTAAGTCAGACCAAGTTGAAAAAAATTAGTAACATCTGCAACACTATCTCATTAAAATCCACCATTGAATATATTTTAATAATATATTTGTTGGGTGCTAAAATGTTGCTACGTTTTTCTATAAATTTTGTCGAGCTTCAAAATTTTGATTTAGGATAAAAACTGAAACAATTTACATTCTGGAAATAATTTTTTTTTGAATTTTGGGGGTTAAATATCATAAGGTTAAGGCTAACACTACGTCAGAACCTGAATACTGTAACACAATTTTGTAACACTTGTAAACATGTAAATAAAACGGAACGACTCATTAGCACATAATTAACTAAATATTAGCTAAAATAACTAAAAAAATAGATTATTAAGATATTTTAAAATTAACTTTTCTATAGAATTTTTATTTTTAAAATAGATTGTTTAATAGTTTGGAAAACATGCTTACAGAACAAGAGAGTATAAGATGGAAAGGAGTATTGAACACACTAAATGGACCTATAAATAGTTCCGGTTGCACCAAAAAGGAACAGAATTTAGATTGGCAAGTGACTGCAACCAACTTAAGAACTGCGTGCAATTTCGGCCATCCATTTCAGTGATTATATATTACCAGGTTAATATTCGGACCTACAGTAATGCTAAGAACGGCATTTTTGAACTATAAATTAACTTTTGCTACATTACAACGACCAGTACATTGTGCTAACCGGGACCATCCAATTTGCATCCAAAGATGAGCAATACAAGCTACTGCCTAAGTTGCAGTTACCATTGCAGCAGATCCGAATCCTGAAGAACACATGGTCTAAAATAAAGTTTGAGAGTAACGTTTAAATATTTCCTTCTGTTGTATACATATCTTAATTTGTCCTAAAATCAGCGCTCGAATACGGTATTGTTAAATGTGCTAGCTGTACTTCCGGACTGGTTGGCTACAGCATGCATGAGTGTGAATGATTAAGACTGAAAACTGAAAATGATGAATACCGTAGGAAAACAAAAACTAATGGTGAACATAATAATGCATGATACCAGGGATGGCATCAAAAGTTTTTATCACTATCACGTCCAAAACAATTTATATTACTTAGGTGGAATTGAGGCTGCATCATTATATCACAGTTTAATGTCAAGATGAAAAACCAGTGAAAAGTAAAGTTTTATTGTAAAAAAATGGATAACAGGTGATATGCATATGGTAATATATAATAACAAGATTTATGTCCCATCAAATTGAAAAAAGAGCTGAAAAAAACATTTTTTAGTTTAAATTTCAAAGTCTAATATATACTAAAAGTTTATTAGACTTCTTACAAATACTCTCAAGCCGCCGCATGGCACTCTAGAAAAATAGAGAAAATCCAAGAAATTCCGAGAAAAAAAATATTTGGCACTTGGTTTTCACTTAATACGGTGAACCCATTATTTTAACCAATGGATAAATTAGATCTATAAAAAAAGTTGCCCAGCAAATTAAACATCCCATGCGTTCATACGTGAGAAAAAAAGCATAACTATTCACCGGAGAAAAACCCTAGAAGAAAATCTTTCGTGTTATGTACTATGGAAAAAGATTACCAAAGAAAAACTATGAGAAAAACTATGTACGTACTATTGGGAAAACATGATTAATCCTTCGCATCTAATCTCAAATTAACTATATTTTCATTAAAAATATCGCATGAACCAAATTCTATCATTTTCATGGCATTTTCATCCAAATAGTCTTCCAATTAATCTCTAAATAAATTTTAAAACATAAATTACTACATCATAACCCATCAATAGCTAAATTAGATCTATAATACAATGGAAAAAATCAAAACTCAAATTAACCCATATATTTATGAAGGATTATTGCTCAAACAAATATTGTTTTCACATGGTTCTTGCTGCCGAATCCATTAATTTTTCCAGAGGCAGATTGTAATTAATCTGGACAGTGTGATTGAATAAAGTGTCAAATTTTCCTTAAAAAGGCATATCAACTACTATACTTTGATTCAAAAATTGGGCACGCAGATTCACATTCTAGCCCTTGACATGTTGTTCAAATAGTTCTAAAAAGAACGTAGATTATGCTGTCATAGCTTAGAGATATGCATGGCTGAGTTATAATGCTCAAAGTTGAAATAGTAATAGTCAACACTAACCAATATTTTAAACTTCTTACAAATGCTTTTGGACCGTCATGTGACTCTAACAAGATAGAGAAAAATCTAAGAAATTCTAAGGGAAAAGGAAAACATCTAGCCCTTTAGCTATGTTTGTCAAAATAAATATATTCTTAAAAATAGTAAAGATTTCTAAAGTAATTATGAACAACAGGTATTGAAAACAAACTCGGTGCTAGGCTATAAACAACGATGATGGTGCTGCAGAAATTATTGTAGTGTTAAACCTCTTTAGCTATAATTTTGTAAACTAGTGTTGAATGATCAACCCCGTTTATTTTCAAAAGAGAAAAATTATATCTATCCTAGTAAAATTTAAGTAGAACCAATTAACGCTATAAACAAAATTGTGTCTATATATATATACAACAAATCGACTAAACATATATTTTTTCAAAAAATCTACTTTCATGATCTGCATCTTCTCTCTATGCTACCCTAGATGGTTCAAGAGTACAAATAATAGAGCTTGCAAGATACTTGTAAGTATCGTAGCGGTATGCATATGGCTGAGTTGAGGTGGTCATACTGGTTGGGCACTGTTGGCAATTGAGCTCAATTGGCCTATTTATCAACACAATCCTAAATGAGTTTGGTGAGATAGTGAACTACACATTAATATTATGCTCCATGCACGCAAGTCTTGAGGGGATGACTATTTAGATATGGGAGCCATGTTTGAAGCCATTAGAGAATAAAGCCTTGGCTACCGGTATTTGCCCGTTAGAGGGGCATTCGTTTGTAAGTTTAACGATGCTATCCAATTAACTAGTGTGGTATTAATTTTTGGAATATTCACACGTTGATTTGGACAAAGGTGATACATGAACACTTAGGTATGAAGTAGGATGAATTTTGTTAGTGTATTAATGATGTGTTAGGTTTATTTTGGTTGTAGAGATGCAGTTTCATCAATTAAATGGACAACCAGTTTACAAGAAAATGATAATAAGTCGTGGTGATAGATGAGTTTAGAGATAACTGGCACAGAGTGACATTTTTTTAATCTTGGAGACATTCTTAATATCAAAATCTATGGTCTATTTCATAGTATAGCTAGATGATCTTTCTTTTCTGATTTAAGTTAATCTACAATATGGTATCATAGGATTTCTTCTAATTTTATTTTATAAACAATAACTATGATGCCCACGCATCACGCGGGCTTCCTTCCTAGTTAGTATAAATGGCATAATCAAAACCAGAGAAATCCTCTTTCCTTCAGAATATATGGCTTGCAATGGTAGGCACTGTGGAACTTCTTTTGTAATGACTAGAAGAGGTGAACTAATCACCAGGTCTTATGATTGGTCATCATGCACAACATGCAGCAATTGGCTTCTCACTCATCTCCAAGATTTATTGGCCAGATATTCACTTACGTCATGTGTCTGGTGTATGGTGGGCGCTAGAGTTAGGGGATTTAAGACAGTTGGCTACTGAATTATAAGTGTTGTGTGCCTGGAGCCTATGAGGAGTGAATTTGCCGAGAAACAAAAGGCCAAAAATAAAGTATTAGAGACCTAGTTGAGTATATACATATGTAATATACACCTACTTATACCAACTATTTTTCCTAATTTTTTTTTGGATATTCTCCTGAATACAAGGAATACCCAGCGCCCGCCCAGCTCACCTCGACTTTGCTATGATCCAACAGACAGAGGGGTGTGAGAATTTGAAATAATGGGGAAAG